CAACACTCCAGAAGATAGGCTCAAGACCCAGAAGGAGCACAGCTTATTCCTGGGCCTTTTTTTCTTCAGAAGACAAAAGGGAGGAATAAAACAACAGAATAAGGAAACAGGAAGGAAAATATCTCCCATAACTCAAGAGGTGGGGCAGTTAAGGGAATGCCAGGTGCCATGAAGGTGCACACCACCAGTCAATCACACTTTATTCTGAACATGTAGAGAAGAAAAAAATCCAAAATTGATCACGTGTTTTATATATAACCTCCTAACTAAATTTACTAAGTAGATTATTCTATTACATCAGTGGTGATTGATTTGACTGTATTTTTGGTTTTCCATATCATCAGGAGTCAATTGAAGTGTAATATTTTGAAGAAAAGTTTTACCCGATAGCAGATTTATGAAGAATGCAAGGAAATGCATCCTGAATGCCAATAAACATTTGCATTTTAAACAGAAAATTCTGAATTGATAAAATAAATGGCATATGTTTGTGTGTCTCTCTCTCAGTGTGTACAGGTAGTCTTCTAAGATACAACTGGTCATTTAACAGCTGTTCAATATTACAACTGACTCCCCTCCCAAAGCTACTTACGACTCATTTCAGGTTACAGCTACTGTGGTATCCTGTGATCATTCACCCTTAGGATCGATCATAAGGCCTCCCTCATCCTTAAGACATCCCTTTCTCTTTTTAATGACCACATGCTCATTTAACAACTGCATTATGGAGAAAACAAATCACATGATCATTAAGAAGTTGGCTGGGAAGGTCACAAGTTGATCTTTAAATGACCCTGAGACATTGCAACAATTGTTAATACATGCTCCATTGCCAAGTGCCTCAATTTTAATCCCATGACTTTGGGGATGCTGAAACAGTTGTTAGTCACTGTTTTCAATGCTGTTGTAACTTTGAACAGTTGCTAAATGAATGATTGTAAGTTGAGGACTATCTTATGTACTTTCAGTTTTATTGGCTTATCTTCTCTCTCTCTCCCGCCAACCAGGGTGAGCAAGCCAGCTGGAGTTAGCCATCGACAAAAGGAATGAATGTCATATTATAAGCAAAGTAAGGGTATGCAGGTATATATCTAAATCATGTATATTTTGTTTTAAGGCTTTCCAGCCTCAAAAGCTAGTGAGTCCAGACAAAGAAGGCTATTTATCTGTCTCAGCAATGAAGCTGCCTATTCACTCTCTTATTACACTGTTTTATGGGGACAATTAGCTTGTACCTTACCACCCAAGGGAAATGTCTTCAAATTCTGAAACAAGCAACTGATACTCTCCTCTTGAGCTGTGAAGACAGCAGGAAAGAAGCAGGCTGAAAGCATGACCTGGGTGTTTTGATAACATGCCAAGCTTGACACATTATTCCATTTATTCATATTGTCCCCTCACCTCATCTTCCAAGGCTGCTGAAAGAAGCTTCGTGATCTGGCTATGCAAAGCAACGTTTGACTGATGGATGAAAGGAGAGGCCATGTAACTGGAAATATAACTTGGCATTGCATTATAACTCTATAAGCAGATATGAAAGGATCATCTGCCATATTTGATCAGAATGGCCTTCCTGCAAACACAAGGGCTCCTCTGCTGACAACATCATCATCGCTTAACAACTGCGTGCAAATGCATCCTGGCACTCCAAAAAGAAGAAAACAACAGCTAGCCTAAAGTCGTGAGCGAGGGCATGTCTTAATTAAAACTGATCACAACTGAAATGGAAATGGACATATTATCTAACTTTCAACATCATAACCTTCAGTTTGGGGCACCAACCTTTTCCAAGATGTTTAGATATCCTGATGTAAAAGCCTGAAGCCCACAGAAGATTAAAACTAACCGTAATAGACTGATAATAGCCCATCTGGATAAACCAGACAGAAAACACACACACACACACACACACACACACACACACACTCCTTCAAGTCATATCTAATTGTTCTCAACAGAAGTCTACCAAACTGGTGATATTCCTGTATGATAAGCAGAACTTAATAAAGTAGTTAGTGTGAACTCTGCATGTCTGGGTCCAATTGATCACATCTTGTGCTAGGGCAAAATAAAAATCTATAATCAATAGATAGAAAAGCCGTGAGTAACATCTATTGTAGTTAGCATGATTGAACTGAGAATTGCAAACTATAAAACCTATAGCAGGTCGATTATTGTGAGCCACCCTGAGTTGTGTTCTAAGGTGCACAGCCATACAAATCTAATAAATAAATAAACAAGGAAGTGATAGAGAGGGAATTCTAAAGGAAAGCAGTAATTGATTCACATTCATCATTTGTAGTGTACTTGGTGCTTTCTGAGCTTGGTTGTTTTCTTACAGACATTTCATTACCAAACTAGGTAATATCATTGGTGCTAGAAGCAAGTGGGGTTTGTTCTCATTTCATATTCTAGTGGTTTTACCTATCAGTGTTGGTGGGAATGGTCTCAGTGGTTCTTTGCTTAGGCTGTTTATTGTTAACTTGTTGCCAGTTCCTTGATTGGGATACTGTTTGCTTTTTTATTATTGGTCTAATATTAATCTTGTCTAATCTCTGCTCATCTGGTTGATGATTGCTGGTGAGGAGATGTTTAGATCCTTTTGTCCTCTTTTTGGTTTTTGATTGACTCTTTTGAATAGTAGGTAGATATTGTTTATGTCTATATTCCTGATGATGACTGATTTGTCAGGATGCCAAGTTTCCAGGAATTCTGTAGAGTTTTTGGACTTGGCTTGGCTTAGGATGGTCATACTTTCCCAGTTGAAATTATGGTTAAGTCTTTTCATGTTTTGTGAAAATTTTAACAGAGAGCACCAGGGATCCCACAGTTCAACCTTAATCTATAAATATTCTCTTCTAATAGATGAAGAACTTCTTCTTCTTCTTCTTCTTCTTCTTCTTCTTCTTCTTCTTCTTCTTCTTCTTCTTCTTCTTCTTCTTCTTCTTCGTCTTCTTCTTCTTCTTCTTCTTCTTCTTCTTCTTCTTCTTCTACTTCTTCTTCTTCTTCTTCTTCTTCTTCTTCTTCTTCTTCTTCTTCTTCTTCTTCTTCTTCTTCTTCTTCTTCTTCTTCTTCTTCTTCATCATCATCATTTCCATCATCTAATACAATGGTAGGAAGCAGAAAAGTATTTTACTGCTCCTTTGGCCAAGTTATCACAATAATCTGACCATTGTAGGAGATTATGTATTTTAAATTCTGTTGTTGGAGCCATCATCTCTTGAATTTAGGCAGCAAAATATCTAGGGCCAGCCCTGAGAGAATCGCTATCTTTTTCCAGGTCTTCATGGAAAGAGTGAATCAATGTGATGTTTTCATTCTAAAGTAGGGACAGAAGATAAAGCAGGTTTTATCTATGACCTATTTCAGTATTCAGGTATCAAAACCTATTAACAGAAACAGAAAATGATAGAAATCCTGATTAAGAGAGATAACTCAAAGGATAGAAAATTGATTCCATTTGAGTTAACTTTTCTCCCACTTTTTTGCCCTTAGTCTCTCACGCAATCCCAACAATTTCTAGGAATTCTGCAGAACATGTTTGAAAAACCTTGATTTATTTCCTTTGGACCATGAAGTATCTACTGCTTGTCTGAGATTTTCTACTGCAGCGAAGTATTTATTGTATAGTTCACAGTCAGGATCACTTTATCATACATCATGTAAACAACAGTTGTCCTAGATTGTATGATTTTGGGTTTGATTGTGATTTCAACTGAAGTCATAATAGTAAACCTTGGGGAATTCTACTTCAGCCTTTCATGGTTTGTTGCTTTTCAGATAGAGCTGAATTCAACAAATTAGACATTAGGAAGAATTTCTTGACAATAAGAGAGGGCAGTTAGCAGCATATATTATTATATGGAGTGGTTTCTTCCCTGTCACTAGACATTTTTCAAGAAAGGCTTGGAATTCATGATCTTTTAGGCCCCTTTCAACTCTGTGATTCTATAATCCCTAGAAGTTGTGGTCCATATAGCTCATCCAAAGTAACACTGAAGAATATCTAGACTTTTTAGAAGTAGACTGCAAATCCCAATGAAGCAGGATAGGATCCAATGAAAAGAAATGCTTATAGAAAGAAATGTTTTAGATCACTGGTTTTCAATACAGATCACCACAAAGAACACCATTTGTTTTGTCATTCTTGGGGAAAAATCAACAGTAGGTTGACATTCTTGGAATAGTCAGGAGATTGTCTTGTCCCTACAAGTAGTCCTTATTTATTACCCATAACTGGGATTGACAACCCCATTGCTAAATAAAAGGGCTATAAAGTGAAATGTCACATGACTGCATTGACGTACAACATCAGTTCCACTATGGTCATGAAGCAAATCACCACAGGTTAAGTGGACTTTTAAGTTCCTGCCAGCTTCCTTGTTGACTTTGCTTGTTGGAATCTGGCTGTGAATGTTGCAAATAGAGATCACATGATTAAAATCATGTGCTGGTTGCAAGTACATGAGTTATAAACCTATGACCATGAGGATGCAGAAATAACCACAACTTTTAGGATCTGTTCTTAGCACTGCATAACTTCTAATAGCTGATGAACAAGTACTTGGTAAGCAACAACTATCTATACAATGCTTATTCTTGGACATGTGCTTTTAGGGAAGGAAGGAAAGAAAGAAAAGAAAAAGAAGGAAGGAAGGAAAGAAGGAAAACAAGCAAGTAAGAAAAAGCTTGGAGAGAAAACTATGAGAAAAAATTGAAGAATTTAATGTATCTCATTCATACAACATGATTTAGAGGTGTTATGAATAACTGTCATTCCATATTTCAAAGTACAAAATGATTTTGACTAAAAGTTACTCATAATGGTACAAATTGCAAGGCAATAAACATTTTTACAGAATTTGAATCAAAGCTATCATCATAGGAAGTTGGACCAGAAATCCTTTCTATCATAATTATTTAATGTAATTTCTAGTAATGTGAAAGAAGTCATCTCAGAAATATTAAGCAATTAGCCAACTTTTCAATTCTCATCTTACCTTCATATAGCCAATCGCTGAGTCCATTAAAAATAACTTTGTCTTTTCCAGTGGAGACTACACGGATCGCTTGTTTCCCCATATGGGCACAGTAGTAGATGTTGTTTTCAAATATAAATATCTAGGCAAAAAAGCAAAAATCAACAATGATTAACACAGAAAGCTCAACAGCAAGCTTTGCTGTAGTCACTGACGCTCTGATGGGGATATGACTTTTGATCTCCTCTTTGTAAACTGAACATCAACATCAACTTTTATAATTGAGATTATTCTTCTATATGATGGTTAACTGTAAAGGAGAAAATTCCTTGGTTAACCAGCCCTGAGCATACCTCTTTAGTACAGGATAATTCATATGTTTCACAGAGGATGGTTTTATGTATGTGAAGAGGCTTAAAATTAAAACTCTACTTTAACAAGAATAGTATTGCAATTAGAACATAAATGTTGCATGTAAACAAAGCTATCCTAAAGCCTTCAATTTAATAAAAAATAGTAGGTAATAATTAATAGGGAAAAATGCTGGAGAATCATAATTTACATGTATCCATTTATACGGCCTATTCATAAATTCCTAAATTTGGGGCCCAGCATTTCTAGCACTTATTGAAAATTAAAATTAATTGTTAATTGATATATTTGTTTGCAACTCCTAGTGACTAAAAACATAAAAAGAATAATATGCTATTCTTCAGCTTAGAGCAGGGGTCACCAACCTGTGATCCACGGCCCACTACTGTTGGCCATTGGGCCACGTGAGTGGCTGGCCAGTGCATGCATGTGTGCGCGCTCGCACCCCCCCCTTGTGCGAGTGGTGTGACGTTGCATGGGCACTAGCAATGCCATGAGCATTGGGTAGGTGCTAGCGTTGCCACGAGTGCACCCCCCACTCATGCTAGCATTGCAGTGTCATGCCGGCACTAGCATCTCTGCAAGCACAACATCCCCACTTGTATTAGCATTGCAACATTGTGCAGCTGTTAATATCACTCAAGCATCGCACAGGCACTCATGGCCCTGTTTGTATCGCACGTACAATCAAGGCCCCATTCACGTGCATGTGGTCCCGTTGGCGCCTCCCCCCTCCCCCGGACCACTAATCCAGAAAGGTTGGGGTCCCCTGGCTTAGAGGGTACTTATTTATTTATTTACTAAATTTATATGCTGCTCATGTCCCCATTGAGCAATTCTGGATGACAAATAATATTTATTGTAATGTTCTATATTACATTCTATATTACACTATTAGATTATAACATTGTAATATTTAATAGATCAATTTATTACATGAACTATGAGAAATTAGTGGTCCACTAGGAGACCATACCTAATCTTTCTTTTTCATCTGGAAACCATTTCTTAAAAGACTATATACATTAATAATTGAATGACATTTTTGCTATCTACAAAACCATCAACAATAGAGAAATGATTGTGGATACAACCAGTGGCTACACAATGGTAAAGTGCAGTCTTCAACTTGAAGACTGCATACCCTTGATATAGATAAATGTTATATAAGATTTATATAGTTCCTTTTCAAATAAGGAAGAGATAGGACCCAAAACAACAATAAAATAATATTTGGTGTGCAGTTTAGCACTCCATAAATCAGAATGCATTTATGGGCCTACAGTCCTGTGAGGGTGAAAGTTTGTTCTCCATGTTTGTGGGCTGGTTTCTGAACATTTCTTTACCAGGCTAAATAACATCTTCAGTGGAATTTAGGGGAAGTCAGTGTCAGTGTTCTTGTGTTTATAAGAGTTTCAGATGTTCAGGTGTCAAGTGAGGGTCTTATGATGGGTCAAATGTGAGACATCAGTGAGAATCTTGTGATGGGTCTTGTGATGAGGTTACATCAGATCAGGATGATTGGAAGGTGAACTGCTGATGAAGGGAGTTGTGTGGATTGGTTGAGGGTCATTGCTGTCTCTGGTTGGATGTGTGGTTGATTTGGATTCTGAGGGGTTTGTAGCGTAGTTGTAGGTCAATGTGTCTGTTGATGGAATTGCTTGTGGTGAGCCAGGCTTTGATGAACTCAGAAGCGTGGAGGGGGGTAGCGTGGCAGATGATTTTGGTGTTGCTCCAATCGAACTGGTGCTGTTTGGTGTTGGTGTGGGTAAAGATTAAGAATTTAGAATAGTGGCATTTGACTGCCAGCCGGTGTTCATGGATCCTGTTTTTTAATTGACGTGTGTTTGTCCCACATAGAATTGATTCTAATGCTTATAGCAGATTTTATAGATCACATTGTTTCTTTCATCATTCTGTATCTTGTCTTTGGTTCTGGATAATTCCTGGTGGAGTTTGGCTATGGGTTTGTGGGCTATTCTTATTCTTAGGAGTTGGAGAATTCTGGCTGTCATTATCAACAGCCCTTTTGTGTATGGTAGGGTTAGTTTTTGCATGGTGGTTGGCTGTGTGGTATACTATGGTTTGGGTGCTGTGTGTTGGAATACAAGTTTTTTGGATAGCCATTACAGAGAAAAATGTCAATGAAGTATAATGAAACATTCAGAAATCAACCCACAAGCTTGGCAAATGAACCTTCATCCTCATCCTGCACCAAAGCTACAGATATTCACCACTACTGCAAACTTACAGTCCTGTCCTCAGGTTTTACAAAATCCCTAGAATCGACAACATAAATCAGATCTTTAGACTTTTCTATCTTTACAACAGAATAGAATAGAATAGAATAGAATAGAATAGAATAGAATAGAATAGAATGGAATGGAATGGAATGGAAAGGAAAGGAATGGAATGGAATAGAACAGAACATTGGAGGTCTTCTAGTCCAGCCCCCTGCTCAAGCAGGAGAACCTATACCATCTCAGACAAGTGACTATTCTAGTCTCTTCTTAAAAATCTCCAGTGATGGAAGCGCCCACGATTTCTGAAGGCAAGCTGTTCCACTGGTTAATTGTCTTTACCATTAGGAAGTTTTGCCTTAATTCCAGGTTGCTTCTCTCTTTGGTCATTTTCCAACCCTTGTTTCTTGTCCTACCCTCTGCTGCTTTGGAGAATAGTTTGATGCCCTCTTCTTTGTGGCAACCCCTCAAATACTGGAATACTGCTATTATGTCACCCTTGTTTCTTCTTTTCTTTAGACTAGCCAAACCCAAGTCCTGCAGCTGTTTTTCATATGTTTTAGTCCACGTTTAGCTTTAGAATATATCTGGGATTAATTTAATATGGCTGTCCAGAGATATAACCAGCAAATCATCATCAGTGCACTATTTAGTTATTTATTACAAAAATACCCTGGCCTATCCATTCCAGTAAAGCTCGGGGTAAATTTATTATTTATCTTTATGTATGCCTTAGGGTTTGGTGGATGCACTTCATCTATCTTGCAGAGGTGCACCAGTTTGCGGAGAAGAAATATCTGCCATGTTGAGACATTGCTGAGATTCAATCAGTCACTTTGATTAGATAAGAAATAGTCCTATATGGTCTGAACCAAAAGAAGCAGAAGGCTATTATTTATATACACAGAAAGAACACAGGGAACATAGATGATAAGAGGTCTGGAGACTAAACTTTACGATGAACAGTTCAAGGAACTACTGTAGGTATGTCTGCCTAATGAAGAGAAGGTTTATGGGTGACATGTTAGCAGTCTTCCAATATTTGAGGGGCTCTGCCCTAATACTAGGCTGCAGTTTTCTGCAACCCACCCGCTTATAAAAAGGCAGCTACAGAAAATGAAATTGGCTTTCTGTTCAGAATGTACCAATCACAACAGTGAAAATAATGGAGATATATTTCAACCAGAGAAAAAGTTGGAATTATGTTTCAATTTCCATAGCTGTTCTAATAGGTTAATCGGAGGCTAAATCACAAAGCAAGGATTAAAACAAAACAATGTTACAAATTTCAATCTTTTTGCAGAGTTACCTTTTTTTAATAGTTTCATGCAATAAATATATAATAAGATATATTCAAATAAAATGCCCCCTGCTTTCCAAGCCCTTTCTGTTATGCGAGACACTGGAAGTAGCACAAAGCAGAATGAAATTCAATTAAGAAGCCAGCATGATGCATCAACTGTGATAGAAAGGGACAAATTGAGAGAACAAAATCTCTGCCAATTCTGTGGAAGCTTGGAAAGGAATTGGAAGTCCCAAGTGTCATTCATTTGATTTTCGGTGCCTAGAATGTTATGCCTAAACTCAGGAACCCCAAATTTATTATTAACACCCAAAGCCACTCATCGCTTCTCATCTGACCTTACAGAACCTCTGTGAGAAAGAAAAAAAAGATAAATGGCCCTGCATAATGGTAGTGATGTGTGATATTCTACCTAGGAAGTCATTACCTATAATGTTTGTATAATGATGTTAGAACTGTCACTCAAAGCATGGGAATACAGGGTACCTCCTCCCAGAAAATATTACCATTGATAATGCTTGTGTGATGATTGGGTGTTAGAGCTGTCACTCAAAGGGTGGGAATGAAGGGTGTCTCCTCCCAGTTTATATTCTGGAAAGAAAGGAGGCCAAGGGAAAAGACACTGGGAGATGAGGGTAGAAAGACAGAAAAGTTTGGAGTCCAGGTCCTGGGAAAATATCCAACTGTGTGGGCCGGATGCGTCATGGGGAAACCGCGCCCACCCCATTGCCGCAATGGGAAAAAAGTCACGATACATCGCAACACATCATGTGATGTTGCGAGTTTGACACCCCTGGCCTACAACAACCCTTCTCAACTGGGGTTCTACAAGATGTCCCTCGGTATTCCGTAAGACCGGACTTCCGGTGGATCTGCACGGCGATGGCGGCTACTTTGTAGCCGTCCTCCTGGGTAAGTGTAACGAACCGCTATGAACAGCAGACATCAGCTGTTCAGCGGTTCAAAATCCCCCTCCCGGGCAAAGGGGGGGGGTAGAGGGTTGTCTGAATAGTGGTAGAGCCTCTTATGTACCCCCATTCTTTTTTTTGGGGGGGGGTGACAGAGTGCTCCCACGGAGTTCAGACTGTCTCCGCTTCCCAGCTGCTTTTGTCCCTAGGGACAAAACAAGCCGTTGCAAACACCTCCGCGCTTAAAGTGATCTGGTGAGGTTTTTTTAGAAGCGGACAGAGTTGATTAGAGGATTTATTTTTTTTGCTTTCTTTGACT